TATAACTCCAGCCAAACTTTTGAACTAGCACTCTTTGTAAGTGGCTGGGTACCTTCTCAAAACTTCTCTGCAAAGTGAACTGCTTCCTGTTTCCTTGACTGACAACTGACAGAACCCTCTCTGAAGAACACCCAGGCATCTAGGGAGGGAAAGACTGCAAATTCCTTCAACAGAGACTAACCTGCTTTTGCCTTTTCCATTCCAGCAGTCATCCTCATTGCCATTTCCTGCAGCCATCCTCTCATCATTGCAAACATTGCTCGGAAGAGAGGACCAGAATTTCTTGGCCTGTTTCAGTTTCTCCTTGACATCAGTAACCAGTCGGTCCAAACTAGTGCCAGCTGCTGTGGTTGGGCGTTCCTCGGGATGATACGGTCTGAAGCGAGCACTGAAGGCACCTTCAGAGATGGAACGAGAAATCCGTCCAGCTGGGAGAGGCTTAGGGGGTCCACATCCCTGGAAAACCTTCTGAGACACTTGCACACTATTATCCTGCATGTTCATAATAGCATCAGAAATCTTCACATCGATGGGATCCATGACCGATTCAATGTTGAAAGGACCCTCTAGCCTCTCTGCTACCATCAGCATAGCATCTATGAAATTGTTCCACTCAAAATCGAGATCCCCTTGGTTGGCCAAACAGCCTCTCATGATGTTTGGGCAGTAGTTGTAACATGGCTTCACAGTCACAAGACCCTGGCAGTGGGAGCAGTAGATCATCTTCAACAGGGCATGGGTACACTGGGCTGTGGGATTTACCACAGAGACTTTGCTCACGACATCTCTTGCAACGGCTAAGCCTTGTGCAAAAGTACGGGCTGCTACAAATGCACGAGTCACCTGCAGCTTCAGTTTTCGAGGGACGTCTCCAAAGGGCTTCAGCTGCTCGGTATACTTGCTCACACATTCCAGATACTCATCTGTAAAGTGGTACTGGGAGTTCACCAGGCGGAACATCCGTTCCAGAAGGCGTGCCCAGAAGTCATTTAGCATTTCTTCCAGGTTCACATTTCCCACC